CTTTGGAGACCAGGCTGGCCTCAAACTCACAGAGATCCGCCTGCCTCTGCCTCCCGAGTGCTGGGATTAAAGGCGTGCGCCACCACCGCCCGGCAGAAAAGATTTTAATGATATTCTGAAGAATTTCTGAAGGAAATGATCATGACAAATATTCAAAGACAAAGGAAAAGAAGGAAAGAAAACCCTGGCAGATACTCCACGGTGAGCAAGAGCAGGGAGACTATAAAGACCTTAAACTTGAGACGTAAAAGAAAGACTGGAGGCCTAAGTGCCAGACAACGTGGGGTATGGGACTTTGGAGATCAGCAGGAAGCCCTGGGATGGTAAGGAACAAGGAAGTAAATGATCTAATTTATGTTCTTCCAAGATCCCTCTGGATGTCTTCGGGAAAGGGAGTATGAGAAGCTGAGCGGGCAAGCAGAAAACAGACCAACAGGCCTCTAGGTGAGAGTTAACAGCCCTATTTGGGGTTGTTGGGTTGGGTAGCAGGGAACTAGACCTTTTAAGGAAAATTTGGGAGTTGGTCACATAACACTTACTTCCGGGTGGGGAGAGGAGATTGAGCAGGACTCAGGGGCAAAGCTTTCAGCTGGGGAACTGGGTGGGAGGAACTTAGTGGTGGTGGAATACTAGGGACCAGTGGTTCTCAACTTCCCAGTGCTGTGATGTGTGGATACAGTTCCTCATGTTGTGGTGACCCCCCCACCATAAAAGCATTTTGTGGATGCTTCATAACTGTAATTTTGCTACTGTTATGAATCGTAATATAAATATCTGGTAGGCAGAATGTCTGATGTGCGCCCCTTGTGAAAAGGTCATCTGATGCCCTCTAAGGGGTCTCGACTCACAGATGGAGAAGCACTGCCCTCAACTTTTGGAGGAAATATAAACATCTTGTTTTCCATGCAGTACGTTTGACGTTGTCCCTGGATTATCAAGTAGGGATCTGGGGTAGGACTAGGGAGATGGTTCAGTGTTGAGGAGTGCTTGCTGATCTCGCAGAGGACCTGAGCTCAGTTCCCAGAACTCAGGTCAGTGAGATCCCAGCTACCTACAAGTCCAGTTCCAGGACATCTGATGCTCTCTCTGGCCTCCGGGGCCACCCGCACACACATACACACAGACACAACTTAAATAAATCTTTAAAGGGTCCATCTACTCTAAAAGAATGGAAGTGGGGCTCTTAACATAGCAGTTACCATCATCTACATTGGGGCCTAGGGTTGATAGATTGTAAATTTTCAAGGGGAGCCAGAAATCTGAATTTTAATGAGGAAATTCTCAGCTGCTACATGTTGACTTAAATTTTTAAAAACTCACCACGGTCCCAACAAAACACTTGCACTGCCTTCACAGAACCCAAAGCCCACCAGTATTCAGCTTTATTTGAAATCTCCAAACATGAGCATCCATCCATCTTGGGGAGAACAATGAGAGAATAGCTCTCCCGATAACTCCAGAATATGAGTCGCATCCCACTGATTTGATTATAAAATGATTTTTTTAGGGGCAAATGCTATTCTTTAGCACGAGAAACCAAGTGCAGGACAGTTGAATTTGTTTTCTTTGTTTTTTTCCATGTGACCATGGGCTCCCAGAAGGCAAGAGCTGTGTCACTCCGCATTTTGGTGTCCTCCCAGCAAATAGGCACTTGTTTTGGAAGAAGCCTTAAAGACATCTTATCTGGTTTCCTGAGAAATTGATGCTTAAAGAGAAGCCACTTATCACTGTTCTCAGTAGTGAACTAGTCAAGAGCTGGGGATAGAACCCATAATTCTGAATGATGAGGCTTTAGTAAGGAAGAGAATGGTGATGCTCAGGGAGGATTTGCTGAGTTAGCAAGTGCACATGAATGCATGAAGAAAGACAGAAAAATGAATGATTGTGTAAAAAGTAGACACAACTTGACGTTGCATCTTGGCTTGTAGTGCACAGTTTAGAGAGTCATGTGAGCTGGCACACTTGCCCTCATTTGTGGAAACTGTAGTTAGTCCTGTGGAAGAGTGGGATGTATTAGTGGCTAAGAGAGAGTGGGGAAGGCAGGGCACAGATGGACAGACAGACGCTGGATAAACACAGTTAGTTCTGGCTTTCTGTAGCAGAGCAGGATAACTGTTGGTTATAGCAAACTATGATGTATTTCAAAATAAACAGAAGAGCATGAAAGTTCCCAACACATAAAAGAATTAAAGTTTGATGAGATGGAAGAGCTTTGATTGCCTTGTTTTAGCCATTATTCATTATATACATATATCACATTATTATACTGTGTACCATAAAGATATACAAACATTAAGTCTCAACTTTAAAGAAAAATGTTAAGGAAATAGAATTATGTGAGTTTTGAGCTGGATCTGGTTTTTCAACCAGCTACCATGCTTCCCTAGATAAGCCCCTCTGGTCCTGGGCTTTCTTATCAAAACATCTTATTTCTCTCTTTTCAAAAAAAATATATGTGTATGAGTGTTTGCCTGCATGCATGTATATATATATACACCATGTACGTGTTTGGTGCCTGTGGAACTCAGGGAGGGTTTTGGGTCCCCTGGCACTGAAGTTACAGATGGTTGTGAGCCATCATGTGGGTGGTCCTGGGACCCAAATCCTGGGCCCCTGGAAGAGCAGTCAATACCCTTAAGCATGGTGCCATGTCTCTAGTCACAACATCTTGTTTCTTGATGATATTTCAAACGAACATAAAGTACCAACATTCGTCCACACTACTGTATGTTGTGTAGCAGGCTTGATATAATACACAAGTAGTTTTATCAATAAGGCTTGCAACAGTTCTATGAAGTCTACATTGTTTTTATGGTTGAAAGATGAAGAAACTGAGGTATGTCATACATTGTGGCACATGCCTTAAATCTTAGCACAGGAAAGACAGGGACAGACAGATTTCTGTGAGTTCAAGGCCAGCCTAGTCTACATAATGAGTTCTAGGACAAACAAGGCTACATAGAGAGATCCTGTCTGAAAAAAACAAAACAAAATAAAAAAAAGAAAGAAAGGGAGAAAGGAAGGAAAGAAGAAGGAGGAAAGAAGGAAGGAAGAAAAGAAAGAAGGAAAGAAAGAAAATGTTAGGTCTCAAAGAAACTCAGGACAAAGGGCTGAGGTGCCCATTTAACATATCAAGGTTCTCAGCCTCACAATTACTTGTCACAGTCATCTTGACTGACATACCCTGCCCCTTCCTTAAACCTCCCCAGCTCCTGAGCTCACTTCCCTTACCCCAGCGTCTCTGCCTCCGGTATAACTCAACCTACACAGTCTCTCGGTCTCTTGGTGCTCTTGTCTCCTGGCCCACGCTGGATCTCTTAGTCTGCCATTCCTCTTTTAGCCCCCTTCTCTCCTCTCTCTTTTCTTCCTCTCTTGCTTTCCCTGCCTCTCTCTTCTCTCATGGCTCAGTTCAGTCTGCTGACCCTCAGCCTGTATCCTTCCAGATGCTTCTGGCTGTCTCTCCTTCACATCTGCATTAAACCTTCTCCTCAACCATACCTAGGAGCAGTCAAGTCCTTATTTTTTATTCATTCATTCATTCATTCATTCATTCATTTATTCAGAAAGGAAGAGAGAGAGTAGAAACTGAGACCTAAAAGTATAAGTAAGTAGTCTAATTAGTAAATAATGAATGGAATTTGAATGATTTGAACTCAGACATTTTACAGTGGGATTATAAACATACAGAAAGTGCTATTTAAAAAAAAAGCACAATACAAATGTGTCAAATGCAAATTCTGAGATATTCCAGGGTAAGGCAATTTTTCAGACATTAGCTTCTCCTACCTCCTGTACAGTTGAACACAGAATTGACATTCACATTGACACGAGGCTTAGATTTAATGGTGTTGGAGGGACATTGCGGACTAATTTAGAAATCTAGCTTCTAGTCCAGTGACTTCTTTGTTTGGCTTCTAGCAGATTCTGCCAGTGCCTCCATATAGAATTGAACACATCTGAAGTTCTCTCAACTCTGATGTTTCAGTGTCTTATGGAGAAGTTAAGAAAGAAAAAACCCACACGAAGCTAGACACCTTTTGGTTACAAATGACAGCAACCTACCTCAAAGTAGTCTAAACTAAAGCAGGGGTTTAGTGCCCTAGTAAAAGAAACATGGAAGAGTGTTGCTTTAGGTTGGCTAGTATCCATGGCCTGGATAACACCAGATTTCCTCTAGCTCTCTCTGTACATCACCAAGATATGGTGATATATTGTGTACCCTAATGAACTTGTCTGAGGATCAGAGGCAGAGCCAGCTACTAGATTAGACATAGATGCCAGGCAGTGGTGGCACACACCTTTAATCCTATCACTCAGGAGGCAGAGATACATCTGGAGCTCTGTGAGTTCTAGGCCACACTGGGCTACATAAGATTGATCCAGTATAGAAGAGAAACAGAGTCAGGCAGTGGTGGCACACACCTTTAATCCCAGCACTTGAGATCTCATGCCTTTGCTTGGGAAGCACATGTGCCTTTAATCCCAGGAAGTAATACGGCAGGGCCGAGAAACTCACTCTCTTTAGGCTGAGGGTGTCGTAGAGGTAAGAACTAGTAGCTGGCTGTTCTGCTTCTCTGATCTTTCAGCTTTTACCCTGATATCTGGCTCTGTTTTTGTTTTTGTTTTTTAATTAAAAGACCATAAAAGATTCAAAGAACAGCTAGATAATTGTTGACATAGTGCACATGCTACTAACCATGCAAAACCAGCGCAGGAAAAGGCTCATCTTTTCTGAGAGCAAACATCCCCAGGAGAAGTTGGACAGATTCAACTTTGGTCACTTATTTGCCCCTGAGTATTTCTTTGTAACCAAGGCTATGTGATGTAATGATGGCACATCTGGTTGCTTCCTTCCCTGTGGGGGAAAGGTCTGTCTCCAACAAAACAGAGGGAGCAGGCTTTCCAAAGAATGTCAATTTCTGTGTAGCAAGACAGGGACAGGTGTTGTGGGATATATGCACACTGTGTGAAGATATATTGCTGTGATTGGTTTAATAAAGAAGCTGAACAGCCAACAGCTGGACAGGGATACAGGTGGGACTTCCAGGCAGGGAAAGGAAATAGGAGGAGGATTCTAGGTGTGCAAGAGACACAAGGATTAATCTGCATGACAGAATGTAGATTAATAGAAATGGGTTCATTAAAGTTATAAAAGTTATTCGAGAGAAGCCTAAGCTAAAGGCCAAGCTTTCATAATTAATAAGAAGTCTCTGTGTCGTTATTTGGGAGCTAGCTGGTGGGACAGAGCAAGACTGGATACAGGTGGGGGCAGAACAAGTAGAAATGCTGCTAAGCCTACCTGGCTCCACCCCAGCCCCAAAGGAAAGAGATAGAACTGGTATGGACCCAAACCGTCAGCTCAGAATCACAAGCTGGGCTGTTGGTCCTCAGGATGAAGCAAACTGTTTGTGTGTATGTTTTGGGGGGATTTTTTTGTTCCACTTTCAGAAATATTTAGACATAAATAGTGATGTGGTGATATTTTGTTTGTGCTTTAATAAATAAAGCTTGCCTGGAGATCAGAGTGCAGAGCTAGCCACTAGAGGATCTTGAATCCCAGTACTTGGGATCTCATGCCTTTGATTCTAAAACTGGGGAGGCACATGCCTTTAATCCCAGCACTTGGAAGGAGGAAACAGGAAGTGATATGGCTGGGTGGGGAGAGGAAGTAATAAGGTGTGGTGGATCCAGGAGCTGGGCCCTTTCAGTCTGAGGATTCCTAGAGGTAGAAGTCTTTCTAGAGGCTGGCTGCTCTGCTTCTCTGATCTTTCAGATTTCATCCTGATATCTGACTCCAGGTTTTTATTATTAAGACCAATTAGGATTCAGGCTACATAGTGGCATTGCTGAATGTCATAGAGTTGTCCTTTTACCTTATAAGAACAGTTCCCTACAGTGGTGATCACTTCACATGCAAAGAAGAAAGGAAATAAACGATCAGGCCTCAAGAAAGGATCACTGGAGCTATATGAATTTACGGACAACCAACTAATGAAGCCACACGGTCAACGCCTCTGATTTACTCAGTGTCTCTTGTCTGTGCTGCGGCAGGTGGCCAGGTTCTTGGCCTCTTTTAGTTGGTGCAGGTAGTCACTTGTGGTGACTGATGGCAGGAAAAAGGAACAGAAGGCAGAAGGCATCAACTGTTTATTCACTGGCAAGTTGTGGTGATCAGGCTTCTTCCAGGCCGTGACTCCTGTGAGATTAAAGGGTAGAGAAGAGCATGATTGCCGCTCAAAAGCGCTTTGGGTGTGAGCTCACAGGCTGTTAGTTAGAACTGTAGGGTTTTCGACATTTCCTAACCCAACGCTTTCACTTTACAGATGAAGTTGAAGCCCGGAGAAGGCAAATGACATGGTCTAAGGTTGTATTACAAAGTTGTTGAACCAGAACACAAAAGCAAAGTTCCCTACTTTCCAAATGTCCATCAACTATGCTGCAAGTTCCTTTTTGCTTTGCACCCCAAGATTCTGGTGAGAATTTTGAATTATAGAAGCTTTACTACTAGGAAATTGAATTAAATTTAATTCTTTACTGGAGTGTGTGTGTGTGTGTGTGTGTGTGTGTGTGTGTGTGTGTGTGTGTGTATGTGTGTGTTTCAATACTCTAGGCCAGGGATTCTCAACCTGTGGGGTAATAACCCCCACAAGGGGCACATATCAGATATCCTACATATCAGATATTTATATTATGATTCATAACAGTAGCAAAATTACAGTTATGAAGTAGCAACAAAATACTTTTATGATTGGGGGTCACCACAACATGAAGAACTGTATTAAAGGGTTGCAGTGTTAGGAAGGTTGAGAACCACTGCTCTAAACCTAAATACTCCTTAATTCTCATTTTTTTCCAAGATAAAAGAAGGAATAGCATGTAATTCCTTTACGTTAGAGAACCAGATCATAATTTTTGGGTCCCTGACAGGGATGAGGAGACATAAATTCTGTTTCCTCTCCTATGCACACTTCTATGTGACTGACAGACAGACAGGGAAGTGCTGAAGGAGTTGGTGATCTGAATTCTGTACCCAGATCTGGGTCCTGATGGGTAATTTTATACACAACAGCCTTTTAGGACTTCGGTTTCCTCATTTTCAATATAGTCCATTCTTAAGGCTTTAGTCACCCTTAGGCCTCAGGGGTTCTTTGAAAGAATCTGCTTTGGGTGTCACAGTCAAGGAAGAAGGAACTTTCTAGGTGGAAGGGTCCTGCATAAAGCCAGAATGCATCAGCGAATCACCTGCCTCCCTGTGAACATAGTCCAACAAGAAGCACATGCCCAATATCAAGAAACTGCACTTCTACATGGTTGATTCTTTGAGTTTTTTCTTAGTTTTTTTTTTTAATCAAAACCAAGACCAACAACCACTTCTTACAGAAGCCAAAAGAGGTAGATGTGTCTTGTTATATGCAGTGTTTTTAAAATTTAGACTTTGCACTTAAAGACAAAGAATAGTGTAAAGACTATCTACAGAGTCATTAAAAGTGGCTAAGAGGACACTGAAGGAACAGAGTTTTCCTTTCCTTGGGATTATTTTGTTTTTCTGACAGCGCAGGATGCAGTAGCCATCAATAAGTTGTTGCGTGCACTCACCTTCTTGGGATGGTCCTGTCCATAAGCATCTTGGTGTGATTACTAATAATATATTGTTCTTAGAGCTGTTTCTGCATTGGTAATAAATTACATAGTTGTCCTAAACTTAGGTATTGTTTTTGTCTGGATTCTTCATTTTATTTTTGAGAGATGAAGGTTCCTAGAAGAGAAATGACTTCCCAGTTCACTTATTCAGTCTTCCCAGAGCCCAGTTGGCTTTGTACCTGGGAAGGAAGGAGAGGGGACCATAGTGAGAGAATGAATGGCTCTCTCTTCTTTCCTCCACAGTCTCTTGAAGCAGTAGTTCTCCAGAAGGAACCCGCCACCCCCTCCACAGGTCTTGATTTCCTGGAAAGTAATCCATAATGGCATAGGGTCCAGTGGCCATAACAGAATTGGGGGAGTGAACATTGCAGGAACCTAGAGAAAACTCAGTGTGTGTGTGTGTGTGTGTGTTCAGTAGGCAGGAGAACAAGCCCAGAGGGAGAAGTACTGTCTATTAACATATTAGGTCTTATTTAGCACTGCCATAGCCAGGATCTTGACTGGTTCCATTCACCACCTTTGGAGGTGAATGCTGGAGACATCATTAACCTTACACAGTTGAGAAAACCAGTTCCTCTCAGACAGTTGACTTGCTCTAGGCTTTCCACTGAGCATCAGAAATGAGACAAAAGCTTAGTTTCTCAGCTCCTTGCTTAGCATTCCCTGTATCTCACGGTTCCTGCAGAGTCTGCCCTGCGGCATTTCCAGTGCACCATGCCCATAATAAAGATAACAAGGTCTTCTTGACATTCAGGCAACTAAATCCCTTTGGGTGGAACCCAAGGTAGACCCTACCTTATATTCTGAATTGGGCTCTGTGGATAGTGGTGTTAGAATACAGTTCATGATCAACCCAAGACTGCTCTGCAGACATCATCTTTGCATAATGAATATGTGGATGAAGGAGAGAATGTTTTATCAGGAAGTAAGACTTTTGCCTTTAAAATTGTTTCTGGGATGTGAGGCATAAGGTCGGGCCACACTGCAGTACTTAACTGTGCTGTGCTTGCCAGTCACTGACCTGGTATCTCGTAGAATCCTGTTTTAGAAAGAGTTGTCCTGTCAGAGACTGAAATTCCTTATTTGGAACTCACAGCATCCCAGAGTCTTAAGATATGCAGGTTCATCCATCATCACGGTTGCAGGATGGATACAGGAGTCTGGGACCCCAGATAAGGTCTCAAGCTGTAGCTGACCCATGATGAAGGTACTTTTTCAAAAGCGTGGTTCCATGTTCTCGAATGCCAAATGTTGAAATTGCACTAATTACCATGCCGAAACTACTAAAGTCACAAGATTTTCTTTCCTTTCTGCAAATGCTATGGTAACCTAGCCCGTGTACGCAGAAATAGGGCAGACAACTCAGAGCCCCTTATTCACTGTGATGCCATCTGGCAACCATGGGCTCCAGGGCGGAAATGGGGGATAGGTTTCCTTTAGCCTCCAACACCAGGCTTCTGAGGCTAAATAAAGGCTTAGAGATTTCCCTTTTCCTGAGGGCTTGAAGCCAGTCTGGAATGCAGGATACAGACCTGGACAGGTGGGGCAAAGGTTGTGAGACTTGAACTAAGTGTAGGGTCTGAAGTTGAGAGTGTCCCAACCCTTCATGCTTTATGAAGGGGCGCTTCACGATGCCGCCTACTTGTGCACAAAGCTCAATACTTTATAATAAATACTTTCACAACCACTGTGCCTTTTGATAGGCCGGGCGTTCATATAAGGGCCTTTCACGAAGCACCACGAAAACCCATGAGAGGTACACACAAATATTGGGAAGACAAAGCAAAAAGACCCATTTTCTCCCATCCATGGGTGGGGGGGGAGAGAGAGAGAGAGAGAGAGAGAGAGAGAGAGAGAGAGAGAGAGAGAGAGAGAAAGTATGTAAGGAATCAGGAGTATAGTATTAAGCGAAGTCAGGCTATGGGGTTAACTGGTTAGGCTTTGAATCCAGTGCAAGAACTTGAGACCCCAGGCCATCAGATACTCATCATTCTCCAAAAGAGGAAACAGGCTCACAGGAGTCAGGACCTTTACCGAAGCCACACTCCTGCGTAAGGTAACCGCAGGGCAGGCCGGAGCTCAGCATCGTCGACTCGGTTTTTTAGCTACCCTGTGCTGCCTCCAGCAGGCCTGAGCCACAGCGGGCCTCGCTTGCGTGGGAGAGGCCTCTGGGCTGTTTATCCTGAGCCAGTGGGGCTGGCTCTGGCAGAGAGTGGAAGTGGGTGGGGTGGGGGCCGTGGAGCAGGGGAGGGGCCTGACAACAAGGACTACATTCAGGGCCTGCGCTGGAGCCGGTCGAAGAGAATGGAAAGCTACAGTCTCTTGGAGCCGTCCAGCCTTGGCAAGGCAGCCCGGGGCCTTATAAGGAAATGTTGTTCCCTCTCAGCCAGTGGGACTGGGATAGCGCCCCAGGCCTGCAGGACAGAGCTGCCCTTGTGGCGGCGGCGGTAGGCTGGGGGTGCCACCCGTGAAGCTCTCAATGGACCACTTCTGCAGGCTCAGCATTCCCTCTCGGCCCTGGCACTCTAGTCCCCTCTCCCCATACCCACCCACTCCTCAGTGCCCCGCGCTGATTGGAGGAAAGGGGAAAAAACAAACCAAAACAAAGACTTGGCAAGGTCGCTGGCCTCATTGCCTTTTGACGCTGAATTACTCAGAAAACAGATTGAAATCGAATTCTGTCTTTTCCCTGAAGGACGCATGAGTAAAGGAATCCCTCTGACCTCCGGCACCCCGTCTCTCTGTGAACACAAGAATTAGCGCCCTGCTCAGTCTGGTGAAGAAGGGCCGGAGGCTGAGACTTATGGACAGTGCCTTCCGCCTCGTGAATTCGCCTTTCCCACCTCCCATGGGAAAGCCGGAGCCTTTGGAAGCCGCAGGAGAAAGGTGACTCTCCTCAGGCTCCTCACCTGTGCCAGGCGGGCCAGAGGGCCTGCAAGACTCGGAATTGTGTTGAGGAAAAACACAGACTGCCCACACTGAGAGCCGTCTTTCTTTGAGTAAGAACAGCAAGCATTACTCAGGCTCCAGAAGGAGGCCTGTTCTGCAGCCAGGCGAGGGGAGCCCGAGAAGACCTCACTCAACTTGATGTTGAACTTGCCAGTGGGGGTAGAAGCAGAAAAGATCTTGACCGTGGCCTTTTGCTGTGACTGTTCGGACACACAGAGAGCCAGGCGATCCTGGAGCTAAGAGACTTGAAACAGACGGCCAGAGCGGCTTCCTCCTAAGGCTCACAGTCTCTTCCCAGCCTGCCGGGTGCACTTCGGCCGGCATGTACAACTGTGACTGGGTACTCAGTTCCTCAAGTCTGTTCACCTAGGATCTCCAGGTCCCCGCAGGGTGTCAGTCATTATGGGGCACCTCCAGGGTACAAAGGGGAATAAACACCAGGACCCGGAGAAAATTGTTGGTTTATAGTGCCCAGAGCAAAGCTATGAGAAGCACAGGAGAGATGTGATGCCCAGGCTACCAGCCCTGGTGAAAGCACAGGAAAGTGTTCTCAGGGCTGTGTGGAGGGAAAGACCTCTCAACTACAGTCTTAGTCAGGGCTTCTATTGATGTACTAAAACACCATTGACCAAAATCAACTTGGGGAGGGAGGGTTTACTTTATCTTATGCTTCCAGTTCATCACCGAAGGTAGTCAGGGCAGGATCTCAAGGCAGAAAACTGGAGGCAGGAGCTGATGCAAAGGCCTCGGAAGAACGCTGCTTACTGGCGCGCTCCTCATAGCTTGCTCAACCTGCACTCTTATAACAACTGAGACCACCAGCCCAGGGGTGCTACCGTCCACCGTCAGCTGGGTCCTCCCACATCGGTCATCAATCAAGAAAGGGCACCACAGGCTGGACCATGGGCTAATCTGACGGAGGCATTTTCTCAGTTGAGGCTCCCCCTTTCCAAATGGCTTGTGTCGGGTTCACATTAAACTAGCCGGCACCTGAGGTGTTCACAGGAATCGGTGAGTATAGGTGCTGTAGAAAGGATGAAATTTGAGGTGGGAAAAAAAAGCTAAGATTTGGAAAGTAGCATTTTGAGAAAGTGGAAAGAAGGGGTTTCATTTCTAGAGGAGCCCTTCTAGACTCAGTTGAAGGGAAGTTCGGGGCTCTGACAGTGCCTGTGGAGAGACAGGCATGGCTAGACTAAAGGAGGATGGAAGGTCTTATGGCTGGAAAATGGGCAAGCAGGATAGTTTAGAGGTCTTGAATTCCAGTGAGGAGACTCAAGAGATAGCCAGAAGCCACAGGGAGCCCTTGAGCATTCTGGAGGTGTGGCCATAGTCACTGTAGGTGTAGTGTAGAAAGGCGATAGAGCCTCAGGAACACAGGAAGAACTGGGGGTGGGGGGTGGCCTTCCCTGTTTCTCTACAGTCAGGGCAGGCTCTGGGCTGGGAGACCCTGCTCTCAGGCTGTCTACCAAGAGCATCAAGCGATGCTGGGTCTTTGAGGTGTGTCTGAAGAGTTGATAAAGCTTCCCTCAGGAGAGGGCGGGGGCTGGCTGCTTTGATTCATTTTTCTTTTCATGTTGAGGGGCTTCATACTTAAATCATACCATTCAGAGGTGTACTAAACACCTGGGCTTCTATTCTTTTTGATAGAAATATGTATGTATGTATGTATGTATGTATGTATGTATGTATGTATGTATGTAGCCAGAGTTAAAATGGAAAGGGCACTATGATGCAGCTTCCTATCAGAGAGTCTGTCTTTTGTAAGGTATCCCCTGTCCACATTTATCCACTTGCCTCGTGTCCTCTGATTGCAAGCAGCTGCCTACACCCCTGCTCCCCCTGGCACCGTGTGATTATTTCCCCCTCCTTCTCTCCCTCTCTCCTTCTGGAGTACTGCCCTCCTGCAATGGTATACCACTACACTGAGAAGACACAGGGCCTCTGCTGAGTGGTTTGGTCCGTGTTGGAAGGGGCACAGGACTAGCTTTTTACCCTCCAGGAAAATCCAGAATGTCTAGTGGAAAGCCATGAAGTCCCCTCAGTGTTCCAGACCTGTCTCACTGCTCAGCACATCCAGCTCAACTGTAGGGTGGTAGACTTGAGTTTGAGCCTCACATGTGGTCATATGGCCAGAGAAGGATGTCCCTGGACAGCCGATGCGCTGCACCTTGGTAGCAAACGTTGATTGCCATCAAATGTCTTCCCTGACATTGCAGTCACTGTGTCTGCACTGGAGGTTCTGATTATGGCTCGTTATGGGTTTTTAGGTGATGATAATTCTCTTTAAAGGGATTTATATGATCGTTTTATGGTGTAGTGCTGTCATAATTGTAAAGAGAGAATTTCAAGGAGCGATCATCAACACGATGATCGAAGTCTCATAGGTAAAGCAAATGCTTGTTTGTTATTGTTTGTCTTGGTGTTTCTTTTATTAATTTTTATACCCCCACCTACATTGTGGACTAGCTAGTCTCAGCCTCTAACACAAGGGAATGTCTTTGACAGTTCTCCCGTGAACATTTTCATTTTGGTTGATTTCATCTGTTAATTCATTATTTGTATAGTTATCCTACTTAGTAATGGATAGTTTAAAACCTCGAAGAGTAGGAAGTCGATTCAATGTATCCTCTTCTTCCTCTTTACTCTCTTACTTCCTTCCCAAAGTAGTGCGTGTTTCCATTTCTGGTGCATCTTTCTCTGGAATATGTTCAGGAAATGCTGGCCAGAGGTTTTCCTAGTCCAGCTTGCATGGGATGAAACAGAACTATTCACACAGAGTTCTCTAGGGGCACATGTTCTCCCAGGTTTTTCTCCTCAGAGTGCAAAACCCTCCTTCTAAATGCCAGAAGACTTCATTTAGTGCAGGCGAACCCAGAGCCACCCTGACCCCTAGCTTGACCCCACTTGAAGATTACCTGAGGGTACCGAGCTTACTATGTGGGATGACACTCACATGCTTTGTGCAGGCTCTTAAGGAACCTCAGAGGGGACTGTCCTCTCAGTTTTTGTGCTAATTCTGGAGATCTTGATGGAGGGTAGGGTTATGTGGTACAAGAGTAGCTGGGAGCAGGGGCAGAGTGATGTCTTAGCATTTTCCTCTCCAAGTTACATTTCTTTAGCTCGACATGTACTGGGCTGGACTGAACTGGATATCATTTGTTCTAGACCAAACCTTACAGATCAGGGATATTATTTGACTACAGTTGCTCCATTGATGCTGGTCCTACCTTCCCCACGGATGCTGTGGGAGTCTGCCTTGCTTTCCCATCACAGTGGAGCCCTTCTCGCTGATGCTGCTGGAGCCCTCTCCTGTTCACTGAGGATGCTGGACCACTGTATTGCTGACCAGTACTGGAGTTACATTTTCTCCGAGAGGATGAGGATTGATCACTTCTGGACTCTCTCCTCTGTGGATGCTGGTTTCTGGGAAGGCTATCTAAGGCCCATTCGGTAAATGAGTCTCTTTTCCAAACGGAAAATGTTTCTTCCGTTTGTGAGCACCATGGTCCCTCCAGTGTTCTGTCATCGGACATTCCCCCGTGTCAGCCGCCCAGGACACTGCTGTTTAGCCACCACTTGCTGGGTGTCCTACGGGTTTCACTTACAGAGATAGCAACAAGTCAGCACAAACAGAACTATAAATATCTCGATAGTGGCAGATGCATGAAATCCGACTGGGTGGGGCAAACAGATGCAGATGCCCTGCTAGATAAGAGCACAGCTTTGAGCCTACTGAAATACTAAGCAAAGTGCGTAAAGGATAAAATTAAAAAAGAACTTACCTGTTTGCCTTTTGTCTTTAGCGGCATTTTCATTTTCTATCATTCCGTGCATGCACAATATATATTTTATGCAGTTGCAATCATCATGCAAATGCTATTTAGCATTTTGTGTTTCCACTTAATATCCTATACGCTTGCCATATTGCTCCAATCTTCATTTTATGGCTCCAGAAATGCCATTGTGGTGATTCACAGTGAGTGTTTTCCTTCTTACCTATAGCTGGAATTTTATGTCCCCAGCTGCTTAGCATTATGGATAATTTTTAAAGGAACATCTTAGGATATTTAGTTTTGTGCTTTCATTGATTTCTCTTAAGATTGGATTCAGGGAGGGAATGGACTTGGTCAAAGTTTGGACCGCTTCACAGGCAGTAACATTTCCTCTGGTCTAATGCCAATGGTGCCGGGCCGAGCTCTGAGCCTCATACTGATGCTATTGGGTCCCAGCACTCTGAGCCAGTAACTAGCATGTCCCCTGGCGACTGAGCAGAAGAGAAGACATTTGCCGGGTCCTCAGGGAAGCTGTTCCTGCACGAGTTCTCTGCTGGTGACTGCAGAGTGTGCATGGGGTGGGCGGGGATGTGTGCACTCCAGGGGCCTGTTGTTTGCCGAGGCTATCTCACTCGTGACTGCCACTTCAAGGGCCTCTGAAGCCCAACTGCTTGAAAGTACGACAGGGTTGGAATTATGCTGTAGCTCTGGGAGCGAGGGCTGCCTGGGGTGGAAGTATATAAATGTAGTGTATTCTTAGTGAGGGGATAGGATGGCCCTCATCAGTGACACCACACAGGGGCACACATCCTGTGGTGGATGTCTAATATGGATAGCACAGATGTCAGCTGAATTCCTTAGAGATCTGATGAATCTTGACCAAACTCCACTGCCAAGCCTATGAGAGCCTTGAGTCCACAACATACTTGGCATGAATGCCCGTATGGCACACTGCCCTGCATCCATCCACAAGGCCCAGCGTCTTCCTGAGTCTTCATCAGAACCCACTTGCTCCCAGGCCCTTTTGAGTTTGGTAGCTGCCAAAAATTCAGCATCACAAGAAGGATTCTCACAGAACGGGCAGCTTTTGCTATTGTTTTCCTGTCTCCCATTTTTCCAGCTCATTTGTCTGAACAAGAGGCAACTGAGTTCGTCTGTCTTCTCCACAGTAGCACCCTATAGTCAGGCTCCTTCTGTGCTCATTCGGTTATTTCCCCAAGCTACTACCTGAAAGAAAGTCAGGTAGAAATCTTTCTCCACTTCTTTGCCAGCTGCAAATAACCTTGTCCTTACAGGTGTATGGTAAGTGGGCAGGTATACCTTGCAGATATATGGTAGACGAGCAGGTATACCTTGCAGGTACATGGTAGGCAGGGAGGTATACCCTGCAGGTATATTGTAGGTGGGGATGTATACCCTGCAGGTATATTGTAGGTGGGAAGGTATACCATGCAGATATATGGTAGATGGGCAGGGATACTTTGCAGGTATATGATAAGTGGGCAGGTATACCTTATAGGTATGTGGTAGGTGGGCAGGTGTAACTTGCAGTTATATGGTAGGTGGACCGATATACCTTGCAGGTTTATGGTAGGTGGGGAGGTATACCCTGCAGGTATATGGTAGATGGGCAGGGATACTTTGCAAGTATATGGTAGGTGGCAGGTATACCTTGCAGGTATGTGGTATGAGCAGGTATACCCTGCAGGTATATGGTAGGCAGGCAGGTATACTTTGCAGATATGTGGTAGGTGGGCAGGTATACACTGCAGGTATATGGCAAGTGGGCAGGTGTACCCTGCAGATATATGGTAGGTGAGTAGGTATACCCTGAAGGTATATGGTAGGCAGCCAGATATACCTCGCAAATATATGGTAGGTGGGCAGGTTTGTTTGTTTGCTTTCAGATAAGACATACTAAAATTTGCTAAGGGAACACTTGAATCCAGGCTTCCCAGTAGCCCCCAGAAGTGTTTGGTTGGACAGATGCTCAGTATGAATATTGGTGCAGCATTAAAATCTGTTGAAACTCAGTCCCCAGTGTGAGGGCATCAGGAGCTGGTGGCATGGGGAGGCCTCCTGATTTGTTCATGGTGGAGGAATGCTTCTGGATGGGATTAGGGTCCTTGTAAAAGAGGACTGGGGAGCTTTCTCACCTTCTTCCATTCAAGGATGCAGTGAAGCTGACAGTGTTAGCCTAGAGCAAACCATCTTTGAGTAAAAGCCTCACCAGAACCTCACCATTCTGGCTTCCCGACCTTGGATTTCCAGTTTCCAGACCTGTGACAAACAGACTTAGGTTGCCTTTAAGCCGCACAACTGTGATGTAAGTTTGTATTTGCACCCCAACGATTAAGATAAATATCCTTATCCTGGTTTAGAGGCAAGGAAACAGACCCAGAGAAGGGGAGAAGCTGCTTCTGCCTCATAGCTGGTCACAGATGTGTGCAATGGGACATGTAGTCTGAGCTGCACATCACACTGTCAGCCAGCCCTGGGAGCCTCACCAAACGTTATACGTGGCAGGCATTCAATAAATGCCCATGCAGTAGACATGCTTGAGCCCTCTGTGTGCCCATGTCAAAGAGCACAGGATGGAGGATTTCTTATCACCCCAGTACTTGACCCTTAATCAAAACCAGATATGATTAAAAACTGTTGTATATGTACAAAATGGAATATTATTCATCCATCATAAGGAACGAAATGCTGATACATACTGAAACACAATAGACACTAAAACATTAAACCCGGAACTCCAGACTCAAAGCCATAGGAGTCTAGGATTCTACTCACACAAAGCATTTACATAAGCAAATCCACGTCAAGGGAAAACAGGCAGGTGTTGATAACTGATGGTTGGAAGAGGGAGAGCTTGGCCATGCTATGGATTAGGGTAAAAAGACCTCGTAGCTATCTAGGGATGGTGGTTGAGCGCATCGCGAGGGACTGGATGACATGAAACTGCGCACCTTAGAAAGGTTAACGGTTGTGTGATTTCACTGTAACTTAAACCAATGAAGTAACTGAGGAAGTAAGAGAGAGAGAGGTTGGAGCTGTGCCTTTCCTCTTTCTACAGTGAACCTCAGACATCCTTGCATGACTGGAATCCATGATGCTGTATCACTGGGCAGAGAACAACACCTACAGTCCCTGACTTTGCTTACGGCTGTGTGGACTCTGGGAGGTTTCGGCCTCTCTCTGGATTCCAGTCTCCCAGTCTGTGAAAGGAAGACATCGTCCAGACTGTACCCAAAGCCAATTGCAGAAAGTCTTGGGGGGATGTGTGTCCCCAAGAGCAGAAGCAAGAGGACTACACTGGAAGGGGAAGTGTTTTGTGGGATTCTGTGGAACTGTCTCTTCCCAGCTCACAGGTGGCTGATACTTTCAGAATCCTGTCACCTGGTCCCAGGGACAGTCACAGAGAGACCAGCCTCAGCTCCTGACCTTGTTGGAGCTCCCTCCCACATGCTTCAAGAGCAATGTAAGCCCCTTGGTAATCCTGCTCTGCACTGAGTCATTCAATGTCAATCAAATGTTTCTTGTGACGTCCCAGCAAGGAGAGAAGCCCCAGCCAGATCACCAAGACTTGACCTGAAGCTGCATTTTCAACATTCATGGAACTTTTAATTGGGCCGTGATTTGGAAACTCACCACGTATACATCAGTGTTTGAGTTGGGGAAGGGCCCACTGTGGACTCACTCATTCACTTTGACCCACTTCCCACATGTGTTACGTCCCAGGCACTTTGCTAGGCTTTAGGAAGATGTAGATGTGTTCAAGGATTGCATTTTTCACCAAGGACGATGGCCTCAAACAGGAAGACAGGGCATCAATTAGAAGTATAAAGTAGACGGACAGGCCGAGCTGTTGAGCGACGCAGTTGAGTTCATAGCCATGAATAGTGAGAGGAAGGGACGAGAGTCAAGGAACCCACTTAAGCTGGGTCCTCAGGGACAAACTGGGAGTTCCTCAAAGAAGGTGGCAGTTAGGGTCACCTGTTCCAGCAGGAGGAAGTCTTTTGTTGCTGTCAATGGTTACCTTTGCTAGTACTACCTCACAATCAAAGGAAGGCTACATTTCAGTTGCCTAGTTAGTGTTTTTTCCTTTAAATTATTTTACTTTTATTTATTTGTGTGTGTATATGTGTTTAAAAATTCCTCGGAAATAGTTCTGACTCCTCCTTGTAAAGTGCTAGATAGATAGAGTTTCTTGTCTCACAGCAGGTCCGTGTCACTCACTTCTGCCTAGACCTAAAGGCATCGACACTTGAAGTCCTTGCTTAGATCATCCAATGCCCTGTCACCCACTTCTAGTCTCTCCCGGTTGTCTCTGAGCAGTCAGGCTGGCGAGGACAAATGTCTTTCAAAGCTATGTTCCGCTGGCTGAGCCCCTGTTTTTCCTCTGGCCGTGCTCTTTCTGGATTCTCTTCACAGGAGGGCAAAGCACCTGGAGGCTGGTGCTGGGCATTTGCTTTCTGTGTCTGCAGGGCTAAGGCGTGCTCTGATCATGCTCTTTCAGGAGGAAATGTGTTCAGGGCCTGTGATCTGTGAAACCAGAGCCTACCACATGACTGAGCTCTCTTGGCCTGTGCTTACGGGGCATCACAGTCTACTGGGTCAAGTCCTCAGGAACAGATCTGAAGGACAGAGAACTTGTCCAATCTTTTCCTACCCGCTTCCTACCCAGCCTTCTCTTGTAATAGGAGGTGGGATTGACTCAGAATTTGGTGGTAAGAGTATGAGGTATTCAGAGGTAAGGGGGCCCTCATGCAGCCAATGCAGAACCGT